AGAAAATAACACTGTATCACTCGACTACTTTTTTGACCAATCAGCGACCGATAAAGTGGTCGCCGGCTGACTACTTTTGACCATCTGATCAAGCCCTCTCGACCCCTCTCCACTCCACCACTCCCGCACCACTTCCCATTCCATCCTTGCGCACTGGAGTTCCACATTCCAAGACCCCTCTCTCGAGCTGTCGGTGATGCCCGCTTCGCCAATGCCCTTTCAGAACAGCCGCAAGCACACTCTGGCAGCTCTAGCAGTATCGCTAGCAGCTCTGACGACATGTCTTGTCGCCCGGAGGAGGACAACAATGCGCCGCAAGCGCCGTCATCGCAACAAGAACCCAAAGTACCTCCGCCCAGCCATTATTCGCCCTCGCCCACAGCGGTCCACTCCTTGGCGCGTGCTTCTCTCGTTCGGGAAAGACTCCGACTTCCTTGTATCCGTAAATATCACGAAGCCCTTACTGCTAAACAGTATACTTCCATTTTTTATACAGGAACAATTGAAATATAACTTCGGTAGCCCTTATCGAAGGGGACCGAAAACAAGAGGACGCAGTACGCAACTGGAAAGTATTGATTTGTTCGGGTTGGCTTGAGAGGGAGGATCGGATCCGTCCAAAAGGGATGCCATGTTGAGATGACAGTGTCAGAATGCGGGCGCCAGGTTTGAGGAGGAAGGTGTGGCTCGCTTTGGGATTAGGGGATGGGGAGGTTGTCGGCGAGTGGGGGTGCGAGTGGGTGTACAGTTCGCAACATGTTCCAACTGGGGTGGAACCGCCACGGAACGGCAGTGATGGAGTGCAAGAGTGGTGGGGACAATCAATTTTTGAAACTATCATACAATGGTAAAGTGTTAGAGTGCTATTTTCTGGATGCACCCACTGGTTGAGGGCTCCAATGTTCACTCGTTTTCAAACTCTTTCCCGCTTCCATGGGCCGCATAAATTTCAGAAAGCACCTTTCGTACTCTCATGACAACATTCTCACTGGTGCTACGGCAAGACGCTGGAACAAAAGGCGACCGAATAGTGGCGATGCCGTCCAATACTGCAATGTACTCACCTTCCTCGTCTTCCTTAACCTCAGCGCTAATTCTTCTCTGTCTAAGAGCTTCTAGAACTGTTTGTTGGCCCATCGCCACCCCCTTTTCCTGCTCGGGCGCGGGAAGCGTCGTGTGCACACCGTCCGGAAGTTGTCCAGCGGGTGACACACTATTTATCTCGGCGCTGAAGATAAGATGCACGGCGGCGCCGCTTCCTAGGAGTCCGACGTTTCCTGTCTCAGGATCGCAAGTGTACATGTACCCCAAGATGGGATCACCTTCTGATGTGGTCACCTTCACGTATGAGTTTTCGTGCTTCGAATAATTTCGCCATACTTCACACATGGCAGCCCAGACGTCTGCCGCGCGGACAGAACTGTTGGACCCGTTCGAAAAGATGAGAACTGGGAATCTGTCCTTACCCCATTACTGTGTATTAAAACGGCCGGCTCACAGGTCATTTAGCGTAAATTGAGAATTTTCACGACTTGATTTAAATGGGGCACTGCCATGCGGTGGGGAACGTGAAGCCCGTTTCTTCCTGCGTAACCAACCATGGGCTTCCTCCAAAGAACGAACCGGACCTCTTAAGCATGCAAACATTTCGAAGAAGCAAAAAATAAGGCTTACACAACTTCGATTCAAGTTTTGACAACGGGCGTACAGGAGTCATGGTCGTTGGCCACAACGAAAGCCGATATAATCGCATTACTGTCGAAGAAATTGAAGTTGCCGTATCACGAAGCACAGACCAAGCTCCGCAGCATTCTCGTTCGTCCGAAAACGCGGCGGTCGCATCCTTCTTCCTTCTTGGAATAGGTGTCTTGCTACCCTGGAACTCTCTGCTGTCGGCGATTGACTACTACTCAACGCTTTTCCCTCAAATTTCCGTTGCCCAATACATCACTAATGCATATTCGTTCTCGTTTATGCTGTCGGGTGTACTTGCCGCGCTGTATCGAAATCTTACGAGACACCGCCGTCCGGTATCGCTTTATGGCTTTCTAGCCCTCACCGTCCTCCCCGCGTTACTGCCCGTTCTTTCCGCCCGGGATAAAGCCATTGTCACCTCCGCAGAGGCTCTAGTCAGCAAAGAATTATGGTATACTGTACTGGTTGCGGGGCTCCTCGGCGCCATCGGCGCTGTCCTTCAAAGTGTTTTGTATGGAACTGTGACGTTACTGCCGGGAGGCAAGTGCACGACTGCGTTCACAGCCGGTGGTGGCGTTGCAAGCTTGCTATTGTGTGCCCTACGCATATTCAGCCGTCTCCTTCTAGATGGCGATACAGCAGATTCCTTGTTGGCATTGAAGCCTGGTTTTAGTGCTTTTTTCATCACATGCTCAGCACTTTGCGGTACGTGCGTGATTGTGTTTCTATGTTTGGATAGACAAAACTCCTTTTACAAAGAGCACGTGTCTCCCGCGGACGCGAGGCAAGAAGTGATGATCTCGAAATCCTTTCGGGAAAACCTGAGAGGCACGCGCTTAATTTTGGAAGAGATTTCTAGACCTGCGTGGTGCGCTTTCATATCCTTTGTTATCACGTTGGCCCTTTTCCCTGGCATCATGGTGCAAATTCCAGTGCCATTGAGAGCGACTGTCACATCAACGCTGAGTTCGTGGTATCCACTTCTCGTCGTCTCTTTGTTCGCAGTCGGAGATACTGTAGGCCGAGCAGGACTGACAGAGCAGATCGCGTTGCGCTTTCCGACTCTTCTCCCGCTCTTGACGCTCGCGAGAGTAATATGCGTTCCACTGTACTTAGCGCAGTGGATTGGGTTGATCCCAGTCAATTGGATAATAGTAATGACTGGTGTTGTCTTACTTGGTGTGGGAAATGGTGTCATTATTACTCTAGCATTTCTGTGGGTGCCGTCCCTGACATCACTTGAGAACAGAGAAGTCGCTGGACGCCTAATGTTTGTCATGCTTATCTGCGGCATGTCGTGTGGGAATGCTTTAGGTTGGTTAGTGGAGACCATGTTGAGACGCACAACTGGATTTTAAATATGGATGGACTCTCACGACAGCACATGTCGCTATATGTGCAGTATTAGTGCTTTCGGCGTCCGTTCTCTGGATTCTCAACACACAGATGTGAAGAGACACAGACTATGCAACCGGGCCGCTGATCGCGAGCACAGGTTTTTGTCGATGAAGAAGGCTGACCTTCCACAATGGAACAACGTCTCACCGAGTGGCGTCGGACGGAGAAAAGCGCTGGATGCATCCCAATGCAACTTCTTGTGCCCTGTGCGATACTCATCTAAACCCTTGAATAGAGTGATCCCTGCTATTGTTAGCAGGGATCACTCTATTCAAGTGCTGTTAACAGCATGACTGAGCAGGCACCAAGCACGGTTTTCACGAAACCCCAATCACGTCAAGCCAGTGAGCACTGTTCAGTACAATAATTTTCTGTACTTTGGTACAGTAGGTACCCCTCAATAGTGCACCCTCGTGCCATAAGCTATAGATACGCACTACTGACAGCGCGAACTAATGAAGGTATATCCACAGGTCACGGCCCACCGGCCACAAAATGCTCCGCGTTTTCGTCGCTTCTTGCGCGCTTGCTGGTGATAGGCTTCAAACAGGGCTCGTTTGGCACGGCGCAGTGCCTCTGAAGCATGCGGTCGTGGTCGTCATCCGCAGCGCAGCGGTGTGCATCTACATCGGCATGGATCTACATGCACAGCTGTACACGTGGTAAGAATGGTGACATAGCTGAAAGGGGTGCACTTTTGGCCATGTGCACTATTGTAAAGCGAACTATTAAGGAGACCCCCCCTGTATACTTTTTAGACCTACAGAATAGGTGTGTTCACAAGAAAAACCGTCACTCACCGCAACCTCAGCAGAGAAAGTCATTGGCTTTATCTGTGAGCCTTCGGTCTCATCTGAACGAAACTTTACACGGCATGAGCACCAATACAACGACTGTTGAGTCCTACTTTTCCAATCCCTATGCAGATGCGGGATCGGTTTTCTTTCCAACGATTGCCTTGCTCGGATTCTGCCTCGCCATTGTCTACAAGAAATGCCGTGGTATCGAAACAGGCCCATTCACACCAGATTCCGTGTCTCCTTCCCTATCCCCGAATGCACAGCCTCGGCATTCCATGCCACCAGTGCCTCTGACAAGGCATGCAAATCTTGTCTCATTTGGCGACGGTGGCATCTACACGACGGTACCAGCGCCTCTGCACGCGGTCTAAAGTGATCTCAAGAGCAATGCTGGTGCTTCTAGTCAACATCAGCCTTGAGGTCAAGCATATCTGCGAACCTTTTTAGACAACAAGGTTGCAAACATATATGATATTCTTTCCAGGCCCCTGAACACTTGTGCAGCAATGCTGTTGCTCTTTGCAGCCATCACGCCTAACGCTTCAATTGCAAATTTCATAATGCTTGGTAAGCGCCCCACGACGACTACACTTCCAAGGCAAAGTATGGCATGATACTTGTACAGGCTGATAACAGCGAGCCGTGGAAACCTTCCCAGTGGAAACGCGTCTCTCGGATATTGGTTCAATCGGCCTTGGACTACGCTTCTGTGGGTTTGTTTGGACTGCAGTAGCTTCACAACGTTACGGGCGGCAAGCACACCGCCTTCCTCTGCTGCGTATGCAGTTTTCTCACATGCGAGTGCACTGATATCTAGCTCACCCGGAATTCTGCCCGCATCCCCAGCGATGAAAACATGGCTTGCCTGCGGTAGTTGCAGCGTGCTAAGAGTCAGCAAGGAACCATCTTTCTGCATAATGCTTGCGTCACACAATCCACCTAGCACTAAAGCCGCTGTGGATCCGTTGTCTTTTGCTCCAGTGCAGTCGAAAACGAGGTCCGCAGAAACTACAGTTGCGGGATCATCACAATCCTGAAAGTGCTGACGCCTTTCTGAATTGCCTACAACTGGCTCCAGATGGGCTTGTAATATCCTAACACCCCTCTGTCTCAGCCAGGTGCCTGCATATAAACCAGAACGTTTTGGGAATCGCGGTAATAGTCCCTTCCGGGATGACGCTAAAGTAATGCTGGCAGGAGGTGCTTGCCGCGCCATAGACACCAATTCAGCTGCCAGTTCTACGCCAATCGGCCCTGCGCCAATGATTAAAATACTGAAAGTTGACACATAAGTTAGCTATGCTCTCTAAGAATGAATAGTAAGAGCAGAAAGGGATCATGTTTGACACCCACTCTTTCGCTTGGAAAGCTTTCCTTCGAAAGGACTCAAACTCCTCTCGTCGAGTCGCAGTCGTTGATTTCGCATTGCCAGCATGGAGCTTAATCGGGGGCGCATGCTTAACACCAGTCGCCCATACACAAAAGTCATACGGGATGGTCGATGTGACTCCATCAGCAATATTAAACACAGTTGCCGCCGTCTCCGAGAGGCAAGTAACACGGCCTTCCAAGAATTCGAGATCAGGATGGGTTTGCTGATTGAATGTAATCTTCCCGATGTGGCTCGGTTGCACGATGCAACGTAGAACTGAGGGCGTGAACTCAAAGAAGGGCTTTTCGTCAACTAGAACAACGCGAGCTGGAACTTGGGAATCCAAGAAATGCCGGACGGCTGCTCGGCCTGCAAAGCCACCTCCAACTACTAGAATTGTCGGGGTAGTAAGAGTGGCTTCCATCTGAGATACTTGAGACCAAAAGGCATCGCACCTCGCACGATGGACGCTTCCTGTGCTTGTGGCCCCGTGTTTTTGTGATTGCAGGAACATGTCATTTATTCTAAAACGGAAAGATACAGTAATTTCCGAGGGGAGACTTGCTGTCAACAACGGTTAGTTCATACATACAAACTGCCTCCAACTTGATCCATCTTCGGAAGTACTCACTCGCTCACACCCATCAGGATCCGGTAAAATTCCCCGTTTCAAGAATGCAAGCAGGATCCGATTCCTGTGTAGATTTCGAAGGGATTTAATACTATAAAGAAGCATTCAAGTCCGGGACAATCACAGGCGTTCATCGTCGGGTACCCGCGCATAAAGCGCAAGGCCTCCCGACCGGCCACGGGCTGCAAGAATATCCTTCCGGATAGAAAAAAAAGTAAAGAAGGGAAGAGTTTTCGCTGTCCGTCCCTCGAGCGTCGGTCCCTCCTTATCGAGCCCCGCCTTCTTCCATCTGAACGACCCAATTTTGACTTCAAGCTCATCCACAGTGAACTCAAGTCTGTTCATCTTCGGCTGCCATCTCGCCGGCCCTCGGAACCTGAAGAACGCAGTCGACCCAAAAAAGAAGATGCCGTTATCAAAAACGCCCACATCTTTGTCCCCTGGAATGAAAGTTTGCTGCGCACGCACGGGAAAGTAAACCGCCTTCAACAACGGGTTTTTCGTCTTTTCGTCTGCTGTGAAGACAAGGCGCCATTGGCCATACAGCAGGTCGATGTCAGACTTGGTTTTATTGCGCCTTTGCTCGCGCTCGAGTTCCCGCAGCGCCGTGGTCACCGTGCTTCCGCCGGGACGTCGCCCACCCTTGGTGTAGGCAGAGGCGGCTTTAGTCAGCACGAAACTGGCAGCGGCAGCTACCATGGCGCTGTTCTCTTGAGCCGAAGGAGCTTGTTGCTCGCAAGTTGGGCGCGCCGCGAGATTGGTTTGATGGCGCCATCCCAGATTGGGAGGGCGATGTAGGAGCGGGAGAGATGGTGCGAATCCTGTCATGGGAGCTTCGAGGGTCATGACGTTTTGATGGATTGGGAAAGAAAGAGTCAATTACCGAGAATTGCAATGGACCGGCATCAGCGGGCTCAAGTCGTAAGTTATCTTGAATTGCAAAGTCGAAGCTTGAGTCAGGTGCATGGGCTGGTGTACGGTAGTGTACAGTATTTCTTAGTGGTGAAGAGCTGAGCCATTGAAAGGCTATAACCTTGGAGATCAAATCTCAAATATCCGACTGCGTTTTTACGGAGAGATCGCGCAAGCTGTGATAACGTACCCAAGGGTACAGTGTGCTGTAGGTAGGGGTCACGAGGAAGGAACTCTGAAGAACAAAGGTGCTGAGGCGACCAAGTCTCGCACAGAGTGGGCGAGCGAATAAAGCGGTCAGCTTCAGCTGACGCAAGTCTCTGTGGGGGTGCGGAGGGAGAGCGAGTTCCACCCAAACACGCACTCGCAAATGCTCCATTCGGGCGGGTATCCGATACACTCAATGAGTAGCGGCCTGCGAAGCGAAAGTCAGTCGAACCGAAGCCATGTGTCTACGCACCGTACCGCCCCCTCGCCCTCGCCCGATTTTCGCTTGGTTTCACGTATAACCTCCGCGCTCCCGGACAACTTAAATTATCAATCTCTCTACATCCACCCCCTCCTATCCCCCCCCCCCCCCCCTTCTCAAAGTCAATCCTCCGGTACTTCTTCTTTTAGGAGGCACAAGCTACCACTGATATGAGTCGTGCCGAGTCTGCAACGCCTGTCCAGGAGGAGGCCAACGAAGAGCTAGTCCAAGATTTCGATGAAATTGACAAACTCGCTGAGCTAGCAGTAGCCGCTGCAGATATCAAGAAGTACGTACATCTACTTGAAACCCCGCATGGATCTCCTTCGAACCTTAGATGCTAAACGTTTACTGCAAATGTATGGTTTTCTCGCGAAGAATGAAAGACGCTGGCTACTACACTGTTTCCTCTGTTCTCATGCGAACAAAGAAAGCTCTTTGCGAAGTCAAAGGTCTAAGCGAGCCTAAGATTGACAAGATTCGAGACGCTGCCCTCAAGCTGTTCGGTGCAGGGTTCATCACGGGAACAGAGGCGCGCCAGAAGAGGATGAATGTCTACAACGTCAGCACCGGAAGCCAAGCTCTCAACGAGATCATTGGCGGCGGTATCGAGACTGGCTCTATCACTGAAGCGTTTGGTAAGCTAATCTACCAGCCATTTCTACTTGCTAAACACACTTCTGGATGCATACACTAACACTACCCATCGCAGGCGAATTTCGTTGCGGTAAAACCCAGCTGAGCCATACCCTGTGCGTCACGGCGCAACTGCCGACGGAGATGGGCGGTGGCAACGGGCGAGTCGCCTTCATCGACACAGAAAACACGTTTCGCCCGGAGCGCATAATGGAAATCTGCGCCCGCTTCGACTTAAACGCTGATGATGTTCTTGACAACATTCTCGTAGCTCGGGCGTACACAAGTGAACACCAGTGCGAGCTCTTGGACCACGTCGCCGCTAGGATGGCGGCAGATCGATTTGCACTCCTGATTGTGGATTCAGCGACAGCTCTTTTTCGTGTTGACTTCACAGGGAGAGGGGAGCTAGCTACACGGCAGCAGAAGCTTAACCAGTTTCTGAGCTCCCTTACGAAGATTGCAGAGCAGTTTAACGTTGCGGTGTGGATTACGAATCAAGTGATGAGCACCCCAGATGCCATGGCTTTTGCAGCCGATAAGAAGCCAATTGGCGGTAAGCGCTGCTCTGCTCAAACTACGTTTACGAACATCCACATGAATCGCGAGTTTTGACCTCGACGAACGAGTCAGCACACAACGGAACACTATGGATCGCTAACACTCGACTTTCTCGGACTTTCTCTTTGGAAAATTGTGTTACACCCTGATCGCTCAATTATCTCAAGGTCATGTGATGGCGCATGCGAGCACAACAAGACTCGCACTAAGAAAGGGACGAGGAGAACAACGCATATGCAAAATATTTGACTCTCCGATGTTCGCGGAAACGGAAGCCACCTTTGCGATTGGCGAAGGTGGCGTTTGCGACGCATCCGATTAGAGAAAGTGAAGGAGTCACAAGTATGTAGACCTTTTCTTGGATCACTTTTAGTTTTTAACGAGACTCTAGCTTTATGCTCATGAGTGCGATTCTTCAAAATTCGCGCGAAGGGCCTGTCGATTAGAAAGGAGAGTGCTTGCTAAGGCCCCCAGTGTTACCCCTTTCGATCGAACCACTCTGTTCTGTCCACTGATGAAACGATTTGTTGCCTCTTGCAAGACACGAAACCAACGATGCCCTCTAAACAATCCTCGCCCCAGTTTTGACGTAGAAAACGCAGCTTTTTTTGTGGTAATCCCTCACATGCCGCGACCGTCAGTTGCACGTAACTCGTGACCAACTCAGGCAAAGGCTGTTCCCCTCTGGCAGAGGAGGCACGCGCAGAAACCGATTATCTACATGGAAAAGAATGTAAAACAAAGGGACAACCCGTGCTCCCAGAAACACTGGGTTGTCTCTTCGGGGAGGCTGCCAGCAATACGGCCTCTCCACATCACATTCACACGCGAGTTAGACGTTAATATCCAACCTATCCAACGGGAATATCCTTGCGACCGGCCTACCGACAACATTATCTACCGGCAGCAAGCCCCAATACCGCGAATCAATCGACCGTTTCGCATTGTCGCCAATGACAAACAAAAAACCATCCGGGATCTTCCTCGGTGCGACGTTCGGACTTCCCGGCGCCGCTTCGTCAACTTTGACCCCATTCACGCGTACATCTCTCCCCCGCACCTCAATAATATCCCCCCCTACAGCCGCCACTCGCTTTACAAACAGCGTGTTCCGCCTCAAAGTCATACCCGTCGACGTCATGGCGTGCGCAGTAGCCGCGTTCTGATGTGCGGAGCGAATGATGCGCATAAGTCGATTCGGCGGGCGAAACAACACAATCTCCCCTCGATGCGGCGGTGCGCTATGTACGGAGATCTTCTCCACCAGAAGCGCATCGCCGACGTGAAGCGTAGGGTACATGGACGTGCTAGGAATTGAATAAATAGAAACAAATGTTGGTCCGAAGGCTCCCACGCCCAAAAATACTGCTGATACGGCCAACGTGACGAGGGCACAGCTGAGCAGATCTGCGATATAGGAAAACAGGCATGCATCCTGCACTTTGACCAACACCGGCCACTCGCGCTCGAAACGAGGTAGGAGCCTTTTGGCGGGCCGCAGGGTGGCGACGATATCGCGGTGGCGTGTGCGATCGACAGCGCGGGTAGTGTCGATGTCTTCGTCGTCGAGGGTTAGGCGCTCCACGGTATACTCGACACTGCGGTAGACGCCTTTCTGGCGCATGCGCAAGTCCCAAAGATGACGCGGGACGACGACACTTCCGACACGGAGCTCGTGTAACCTCGGGCGGTGGCGTTCGCACCAAGGAGGAAACGAGATGCAACGGGGGGTCGTGCGGCGTTGGCGACGGGGAGGGGAAGGAAGAGGGGGGTGAAGGAAAGCATGGTTGACTGGCGCCACAGAAGAGACCATGGGGTTGTGGTGGTGATCGGACAGAGAGGAAGCAGGATGGCTGTGGGAGAAGAAGAAGCTGGGGGGATGTGCACGGAATGGATTGGTTGATGACGGGGAAGCTCAGAAAGAGCACGATACGGGGAAAGGGCAGATGTGCTTGCGAAAATCTGGGGACGATAATCCATTCTGAGTGGCCTAGAAATTTGCCTCTTTCCATGAGAATTTATGTGCGGGCCCGGAAACGCTCCTTAAACTGTCTCATCCACAAAAATCTCACCACTCCACGGCCACACCTGTCATGGCATGAGATCTCAAGGCTGTGTTCAGTATCTTCACATGAAGAACGTACGGAACCCTCGTCTCTAGGCTTTCACGGCTGCGCCTTGCACACTAGACGACAAATCGCCTCCGTTAATGTGAACAAGGAAAAGGCGACCGTGACCTTGAAGCGCGGCAGAATTCGAGGCGTATGCTACCAGCCGCATTCGCGGTAAGAGCCAAGTCGTCTACACACCCTGACCCGCCCGACGTGGTCGCGTCTCTGTAATACCTGATCCTCACCTCACATTCCGAATCACTTAATCTACGCCTCCTCCGCTTCCCTTATCCAGCCACTATGTGGCCATACTTCGGCTCCCACATCTGCTCACGCAAGAATTCCTTCAGACCATCGCGAGATTGCAACGCACTATCAGGGAGAGCCTGGCCCGTCAGTCCCTGATTTATGGCAACTTGCGCCACGGATGCAGCCACCTCCACGCTCACAGCTCTCAGCTTCTTCACGCCCGGAAACAGCAAACCCTTCTTCACCTCCTCGTCAGGTAGGAGCGTCGCAATCGTCCTCGCCGCAGCGAGAAACATAGAATCTGTAACACACGAAATTCTCAGAGCAGTCACGGCGAGACCCAACCCAGGGAACGAGTAGACGTTGTTTGCCTGGTTGGAGTATTTCACCTCCCCATCGGGCATCGTCACGTTCCCGAAAGGCGATCCGGACGCAAAAATCGCTCGACCAGAAGTCCACTGAAACGCTTGCTCCGCCGTGCACTCTGAAGCAGTAGACGGATTGGACATTGGGAAAATAACGGGCTGGACCACGTGCTTTGCCATTTTCTTCACCACCTCCTCTGTAAACAGCCCACCACGTCCGCTCAGACCAAGTAACACTGTTGGCTTCACCGTATCAATCACCTCCCCTAGGGGCATGCCAGCCGCCAAGTCGGATCGTTGAAACTTTCTCCGTGTGGGGCAGTCTTTCCTGGAGTCCGTACTGGCCCCCAGTAAGCCATTTTCGTCCACGACGTAGAATCGGTCGTAGGCATCTTCCGGCGTCGCACCCTCCGCTTCGATCGCCTGTGCGATTGCTTCGCACACACCTAACCCCGCTGAACCAGCCCCAGCACAAAGTATCCTCTCGCCTGTGATGTCAGCTGATTGCATACTGCGCGCCCGTAATGACGAAAGGACGGAGGCCACTGCAATGCAACCAGTTGATTGGATGTCATCGTTGAACAGAGGCGCATGTTTGTGTCTGTATCGCTTTAGAAGAGTGGCTGCGACGTCGCTGCTAAAATCTTCAAACTGGATAAGCGCATTCGGCCATCGGTGGCGCACTGCGCTGATCCATTCATCAATCAAGCTTATGTACTCGTCTCCTCTGAGCCTTTTCCGAGGCAGCCCCAAGTAAAGAGGATGATCACGCAGTGCTACGTTGTCAGTTCCCACATCTAACACAACCGGGAGGGTATTTGTCGGAGAGATACCTGCACCGGAAACGTAGAGAGACAACTTGCCAATAGGGATATTCATAGAGTTACAACCTAAATCTCCAAGCGCTAGGACTCGAGAACCATCTGTGACAACAATCACATCGACGTCATCAACCGGCCAGTTGTAGACCATTGTTCTAAAATGAGCGCGGTCCTCAACACTGAAATACATCCCTCGAGTACGGCGGTAAATGGCATGAAACCTTTGGCAGGCTTCCCCAACAACCGGTGTATACACAATTGGTGCGAGCTTCTCAAAGTTATCCATGAGTATTCTGTAGAACAGCACAGTATTCCTATCCATCAACATGGACAGGAACTGAAATTTATCTAAGTCGGTGCGTTGCCTTGAAAAGGTTGTCATGACCCGTTGGATCTGCTGCTCCAGAGCTTGTTGGCGCGGAGGAACTAAACCTCTCAAAAGCAGCCGCTCCCTTTCATCGGCAGAAAAGCCACTGCCGCGGTTCAATGAGGGATCGTGGATGACCGATAAGCCCCTATGCTTTGTTTTCAGAACTTCATCGGAACGTTCGTTTAGGTCGTCGTCCATGCCCCCGACATGTTGTTCATGTTGCAGTGCTCTGGACGTGCATGTGAAATGGGTGCGAAGGCAAGAACCAAACGGTCTGGAGACATTTCCAGCCGCCAGTTTCCGTACTGCCCCCGACACGGGACGCCCACATCCAAGCGATGAACGGGTTGCATTCCACATATTCTATGATCGTGGGGCCGGTGTTGATGATCTCTCAAGTCGTGTTGATCTGAGGTGATAGATGCAAGAGGGAATAAGGTTTCAAAAAACGCCCAAACTTTTCCGTAAAATAATCTCTCGAATAGTTATCCAGAGTACAAATACAGCATAGTGCAGTGCACACAGAAAGTACTGTATACTCTTGGGTTTCTCAACTAATCACAGAGAATGGAAACTAAACGACAACCCAATTGAAAGGCCTCGTCCTCGCCCTAACTAGAACAGAAATATAAAGAACCTGACAGTAGTGGTGCTCAAACCTAGTTCTGAAAATTCTAGTTCTAATTCTGAATCGATTTTTCGCAAGCTCATTGGCCAGATTGATTCAGAAAAAATTCTAACTCGTCTACGAGCTCTGGAGCTCGTAGACGGGTCAGAACTTTCTGAAAGTCGATTGGGACGCAATTTCGCTTGTGTAAGTTTTTTGATTAAGAACATTTCTGAATGTCCGTCGCCTGATCCGGCTCGGCTGGCCAGGTATCCGGCTCCACGTCACACACACGGTGACACCTGTCTTCGAGAACCCAAGTAGAGAAATGTGCACACACGCCTCTTCTGGAGCTCCACAACAGCAGTTGCATGAGCACGCGACCGGGACGGGCGGTACTACTTGATCACGGGAGGCCGTCATGAAGCCATCCTCGGTAGAGTGCATGCGCAAGGAGCTGAGCAGCGGCGCGCTCGCGATCTTGCTTTTGCGGCCGTTGCAGTCTGCCCGCAAGAAGCGCCGTCTCGCCGAGGTGTATCGCGTGCAGGGCAAGACGCGCTTCAGCAAAGCGCTTGAGCGCGCCGCTGATAAGAGCGCGCGCAGTGGAAGGAGGATGCTGGAGGTGGTCGGGCTGGTCGCCAGCGTGCGGTATCTCGAGCGGCGCGTTTCTTCTCCGCGCGACACCCGCGGAGCTGACATGCTGACAACTGATCCAAGCACAGAGCCCGATACAGGACTACTTCTCTTGTATCGGATTCGGTGCTTGTATGATTCCGATGTACAGAATTGTGTCTAATAAGTGCGCGCTTGGCACGCTACTGCCCTTTGCTGCTGCGGTTGTATTTCGGTTTCAGTTCGAACCACGATAGACCGAAACAGATACGGTCAGGTATCCACGGATCACTATGTAATGACCTACGCCGCACGATGCCTGTGCGCCTACTCTTGGACACGGGTGCACGCTGTACACGTGGACAAGAGAACGGCGTGGCTGGGCAGTGCATTCTCTTGCCGTCGGCGCGCAGGAGGCGAACCGGAAGAGCCAGTCATCCGCTTCTCTGCCCTCCATTCCCTTCCCCCGCGGCTGCGCGGCAGCCATTATCCGCTCTGTGCGTGTGTTAGGCCCATTAGGGGCCAAACACTTAGAATATTCCGACCTCGGTACCACAATAGTTCAAGTTATTCAATTTACTTCTCCTGAATAAAATGATGTGTCACGAGGCAACCACAGCGCAGGGGTCATGATTACAGCAGTTGTTGAAGTAACAGTACGAGAGCGTCAACCGCGCGAAGGTTGTGCCAATCAGAGCGTGTTCTTGAATTACAGCTGCTTGATTCAGGCGACAAGTAAGAATCACTGTTGGGGGTTAATTTTATTTTCTGAAAAAGTTCTGAACTCCTGTGATTGGTCGAGAAAGCGTCGTTTCAGAATTAGAACTAGAATTTCAGAACTAGGTTTGAGCACCACTAGTAGGTAGTTAAATACTTTTTACGTCAGATTACTTTTACTGATTTCAGCGTGCAGTGTGGCACGCTGGCACTCCGTACAAGACGGTGACCTACATTGGGTTGCCAAATTCGTGCCCTACAGTGCGCCCTTGTGCTTGGCACATGTAAATACCACCTACTTCGGGCGCGCGCGCCCACACAGAGTAGGTGGCCAATTCTCTGATACGGGTGCACACTTCCGCGCACCCGACCCTTTCGTAGCGGTAGTACGTTTTTCGGAATAAAAGGTCCGGCCTCTGAACCCGACGAGGACCGGACCAAGAGACGCATCAAAACAACAACCACCGCCCAGTTCTGGAACCCCACGGTCCCAGCACCTCGACCACCGTGTCGCACCGACTCGACCGAGCCAGACATGCTGTTGCTGGCCACAGAAATTTCTACAGTATCATTCCGCGGATGAACACGCGCCGAATGCAGCGTTCCGACTCACCTCTTCACTCGCCTCTTCAACCCGCCGTGCGCCATCGCAAAAATCTTTCTTCGATGGCATCTTCTTCCGACTCTGCACTGCAGAGTTCGGGCTCTACGTTATCGACCGTATCCGTTTTCGCCCCAATCGCCGCACCTATTTTGCGCACTGTCGATCCGACCCACGTCGCACGCTTTCTAAAAGGGCGGGAGCGCTACGAACTCGAGGTCTCAGCAAAGCAGGCTGAGGTTTCTTCTTTGAAGGTCCTTCCATACTCAGCAACCATCGACCGTTCTCTGCTGAAGAACCTCTTCTACATCGGAAAATTTGACTCACTCGCCCCGAATGCCTCATCTTTCGCAAATCTGACCGACGACCAGATTCAGGCCTACATCGAATCGCTCGTTTCTCGCACGAGACCTACCGCGATCGACCCTAATATCATCGACAAAGCCCTCGATGGCTTCTCGATGCCGATGCACATCGCCCACCCCGACGCACGAATCACAACGTTTTGTGCGGTTTTTTTCGATCGCGTAGAGAGTGTCGGATGCGGCGACTTCCGAGACGAGAATCCGAAGATGAGTGTCAAGCTCCTCACCCGTAGCATCCAACCCGCAGTGCTAAAATCCGAAATGCACAAACGTGTGCAGTACGACACCAGTCTCCAAAAGAACGTTAAGTTCTTCATTCAGCTATTAAGCAAGGAGGCAGAAAAATGCCAGACCTACAGTAGGGACTCTAAAGCAGATCCCAGTAGGGTCCCTCATCCGAAAGGCACCAGAAAAGTTACGACCAAGGACAAGCAATTCCACACCGAAAACACTAAAACGGGAAAGCTCCCACTCTGTCTGTGGCAAGATCATGGTAGCAAAGGTATTCGACACTACCTCAAAGATTGCAAGAATTGCCCAAATGACAAGAAGGATCGCCTCTTTAACGCCCACCGCTCGTCGCGACACGACGCGGCTAAGCGCACCGTGTCCTGCAACCACAGCAGTAAATCCGCTGCTGGTGGAGTACTGTTTACCGCCTTAATTGGCGGCAAGTTCCGCACGACCATCTGCGCTGATATCGGCGCCGACGCAAACATTTTGGACAAGCGCCTTCTCGCCGACCTCAAAGAGGCCAATGTCGAATTCACTGTGGAGGAGCTCCCGCGTGCTCGCACATTCAACATGGCCGCCAGTCTGCCGAATGGGCTTCCGGCCGCTCTTATCTGCACCCGTGCTATCACCGTCGACACTGAGCTACATATTCGACATGGCTCCGCATTAACTTTACGGGGCACTCGCTGGCTCGTCACTGACCAAGCGGTTGGAGAGCCATTCCTCGGCCGCCCGCTCCTCGAGGCGCTCGGATTGAACACGCGCGACATTCTAGCTGCCGCTGCTGAGCTCCATGGTGGCGAGGTTGACGTCGCATCCCTTGCTGAGCTGAACCACCATGGACGCGTCGCCCGAGTTCTAGAGGGTGTCTATCATGCTGACGGCGGCGCCGACGATGCAGATCTGGACGAGGACGACGGATGGCTCGATCTAGGCCCTGAGGATAGCACCGTCAAAGCACGCCTCCTAGCAGATAAGCTCTCTGAAGCTCGTCGCAACGGGATGTCTGAACACGGCCTGACCGCGCTCCATTCCATGCTCCACGAGTTCGGTGACGTCATCAACCTCAAGCTCGACGCTGGAGAACCTGCACGAATCGAACCGTTGCAAGTACGCCTGAAACCAAATTCGGCGCCCATCCGCGCGAAGCAGCGACGCTATCCGCCTGAGAAGAAGAAGTTATGACACGCTACGTTCGTGAGCTTCTCAAGCTTGGACTTGCCACAAAGGTTACGTCTCCGGAATGGGTTCCCGCCCCACTAATCGTTCCCAAACGACCTCCGGCAATGTACCGTCTAACCATTGACTACCACGCCGTCAACAACGTCACAAAACAGACTTTCTGGCCCATGCCGAACATCGAAGCCGAACTTGCCGAAACACGGGGTTCCAAGGCCTTCGCAGGTATAGACTTCTGCAGTGGATATTGGCAAGCCTCTCTTCATCCGGATAGCCAACCACTCTTTGCATTCATGACACCGGAAGGGGTCTTCATGCCTACACGTACGACGCAAGGCCGTCGCAATTCTGCGGCAAACTTCTAAGAGAAATTGGCACAGTGTTTTCAAAAGCTTCACGAGAACTTCACAGCGTGGCTCGACGACTTCATAGTTTTCGCGCCTGAAGAGGAGCATCTGTTGCGCATTCTACGTCGCTTCTTCGAAATCTGCCGCTCTCGCCGGCTCATCATCTCGCTCCCTAAGTCCGATTTCTTCCTGCGCGAAGTGACCTGGTGCGGCCGTATTATCGATGCTAATGGAGTTCGCTTCAATCCCGCCAACTGTTCTGGCCTCCAAAACAGCAAAGCTCCCCGCACCGCCTCCCAACTCTGCGAGTATGTGCATGGGGTCAGCTGGGTGGCCAACAGCATCCCTAGGTTTGCCGAACGTGTCGCCCCATTGCGGGCTCTCCTTGAGGCCGCCTATGTTAAAGCCGGAGGTAGTCGAAAAAAACGAGCCATCGCAAAATTCCAGCTCAAGCTGCTAGGCTGGAACGACTCTCACCTCGCCGCTTTCACGGGCCTACAAAAACAGTTATGTGACTCAACCCAGCTGGTCCACCG